TGCTGTCAACTGTTAGATCATCTGGTGACATTGCTGTAGCAGTAGCATCATCCAGAATTGCTGCACTTTTGATAACAGGTGGTAGGATTGCACATAGCCGATTCAAGATTCTGCTTAAACTCAATGAATTTTTAACGTGTAACATTTCACGAAATAGTAAAGAAGCCTGTCTAATTATTTTAGCAAAGCTTTTCATTTGGGACGAGGCCCCAATGATTCATAAATTTGCTTTTGAAGCATTGGATCGGACGTTTCGTGATATTACTCAAGTTGATAAACTTTTTGGAGGTAAAGTCTTTATATTTGGAGGTGATTTTCGTCAGGTACTTCCTGTAATACCACGTGCGTCACGTGCTGAGATCGTTTCATTAAGTTTGAGTCATTCATCTTTATGGAGACACATGAAAGTGATGAAGTTATCAATTAATATGAGACTTCGTCAGTCTAATGATACCAGTGAGAACCAAAGACAAACCAATTTTGCTAACTTTCTTTTGCAGATTGGTGATGGTAAATATTCTGTTATTCCAGATACGGAGGATGTGATTGAACTCCCTTCTGCTATGATAATCCCTAGTGGTGAATTATCTGATCTTATTGATTTTGTTTATTCGAATTTAATTGAAAATTCGGCAAATGTGGATTATATGGTTGGCAGGGCTATTTTGACTCCAAAGAATGATGATGTTGAATGTATCTTAACCCTAATAATGAATCAATATCCAGGTGAATTTCATATATATACTAGCGCGAACTCTATAGATTTAACAGATGATAGCAATACAGACTAACCTCAACTATATGCCCCGGAATTTTTAAGATCGTTAAAAATTCCTGGTCTTCCTCCTGGTGATTTGAAATTGAAAGTGAGAGTTCCGATCATACTCCTACGAAACTTAAATCCTTCAGAGGGTCTTTGCAATGGGACACGATTAATTTGTCGTAGCCTTTATAGTAAAGTAACTGATGCTGAAGTTATCACCGGTCCACAAGTGGGTAGGTATGTCTTCATACCACGTATTACATTAACACCTTCTGACACCAGTTTGCCCTTTGTTTTAAGTCGACGCCAATTTTCAATAAGTGTTGCCTTCTCCATGACAGTCAATAAATCGCAAGGTCAACGTTAAATCATGTAGGTCTTTATTTACCGCAGCCCGTTTTTTCGCATGGACAGTTATACGTTGCCTTATCAAGAATCACTTCGAATCAATGCATAAAGGTTCTCCTTAATCATGACTGGCAATGCCAAACAAAAAACGTCATGTATACTGAAGTATTTCAATAGACAATGTTTTTGTAATGACGAAAAATACATTTTTAAATACTTTTATGTGAAAACATTTATTGAGTAATACAATGTATGATAGTTGGTTTATTGTAATATTCGATACATTAAAAAATTTTAATTTTGAACTGTCTCGATTTGTCAAGTCACTGAATGCTGTACTACCGATTGCTAAAGCATTTAACCGTCATAACGACGATATCACGTGTATATATGCCGTTGCGAAGCATGGGCTCAATGGCTAGTAAACATATAAAAAAATAAGTCAAACCTGAATCCAACTTTTAAAACCTGTAAACTATGGTCAAACGCAAGAGTCAAACCAAAAGTTATATTACAACTCTTCTTAATACTGGAAATATTGTTTTGGAAATACATTATGGACATTTTTCTCGAGATTGGTGAATAGCAACCAAAAGCAATATAAATGATCAAGTAACGCTATTAGTTCCAATAAGATTAAGTATGCAAACACTTACAAGACTCAATAGCTATGACTTTATTATAACTGTTTTGGGACCAGATCTTGAAATTTCACCCGATCCAAGATACCAAGCAAATTGCTACTTTGTAAACAATGAGTTAATAAATGAAGACATATGTATAAGCTCTTCAGTTGCTATCACGTCACTATATAAACATCTTTTTGGAACAAAAACAAAATTTTCTGGGTCGCTTGTTATAGGATTTGATCAAGAAATTATTGCAGAACAATTACTAAAAGATATTCAATTCTGACCTTTTGAGTTTTTTGTAGTATGATTTCGAATAGTAGTCTTTAGAATTAGACTTTCAGAAAATCAAGAATGGAATTATGCTGGAGATGGTTATCAGTCATCTTTTATTGATAAAGTGAATAAAAAGCAATTTTTGTATATCCAAAGTTTTGCTACTAAAAAATGTATTCTTACTGTTTATGAGGATAATGAACTTAGGTCAATTATTTGTGGAAAAACTCCAGCTGATGTATGGTCTCATATAGATCATAAACCAGAATTTGATGCGAACAAATTATTTGGGATTGATAATAAATATACACAAGCACTAATCAGTAAACTGCAAATTCCGTCATGTACACCAGAAGAATGAAATAATTCATCTTTATTGCAACGAATCTTTAAATATCATCTAAAAAAACAAACAAAATCTGATGTCAATTGGATGGGATTTATTGAAAATTGGAAAAACCAACGGAATGAAATCATTGAATTGCAAACTTCCTTGATGCAATTATATAGATCTGAATATCAAATGAATTCACGTGAGCTTTGCGTCTGGAAATCAATGCTTAGGCATATAGGTTGTGTAGAAATTACACCTTATAATAAAGACCAATGTGAGGTGAGAAATGAGCATATTAATACTGAGCAATAATACAAAAGAATATCTATATATCTTATATTATTTTATATTTATTTTCAGTTTGAATTTTGGACAAGATCGGTAAATCCAAATAAAGATCGTGAAATGTTACAAATTTTATGTGATCTTGATTTTCTTCATCCTATACCAAACAAATTTTGCAATCAAACTGAAATTTTGTGAAACTGTATTCGAGAATCATTAAATGCAAATAAAAGGGGTCAAGATGGAAAGAGACGTATTTTATCTATTATTGCAGATCAGTTTCTACATTATGAAATCAAAAAGAATTTGAATGTAAGTAAAATTTCTATTTACGCGTTTTAAAAATTTGGATATTTCAATTCAAATAATTCAAATTATTTTTCTATTAGATTTTCTCTTCAGATACAATTAATGAGGCACGCAAATATGCAAGACTCCATGGTCTTGGTGCTGAATGTATTGAAAAGCCTATTTTTACACGAACAAAAATTTCACGCAAAAAACTTGATCAGTTGCAACAATTTTTGGATGATAAAAATAATGTGGTAATGAGTAGCTATAAAACAGAAGTTAAAACTGGCCTTCCAGTAAAATATCTCAAAGATACAAAAGAATCTTTGTGGGAAAAATTCAGCTATCAGTTTCCAGATGGTATTAAAAGAACATCTTTCATGACATTCTTGCAAGAAAAACAATATATTTATTAAGAGGATCTTGGTGGTCTCTGTTCAATTTGCAGTCATTATAGATATGAGATTTTTGCAGAAATGAAAAATTTTATTGAAAAAAACATTCAAAATAATAATCTTCAAGTATGTTGGTTTTCAATTCATTTTATTTATATATTACAAAGTTTATTTATTTATTTTGATTTATTTACAAATGATAAATTAGAAGGACTATATCGATAAACTTGAGCATTTATGTCGATATCTTAAAAAGTCTTATGAAAAAGAACTCAAAATTGCTATGAATGGAACTGTTGTACATAATGAATGTATCAGTTACTGTCTCCCATACGCCTTTGGTACTTGCATGGAATTACACAGCTATGAATATGTTGAATGTAGACAATTATTTGCAATTTTTTACCAATTGAAGAATGATACTCCAATTACATTATATGCTGAATTAGATGAATATCGTGAATATCTCTTATACTATCTTGCTCATCAAACACGAAAAGTATATCTAAATGCATAATTCAATACAAACTTATTAGAGTTAAATGAGAAAGAAGCATTTATTGTCGTGGATTATAAGATGAAAGTATTACCTAAAAGTACAAAAAAGACAAAAGAACAGTTTTTTGGAAAAAAAGGCTGGACTCTTCATTCAGTATTGGTATATACTCGCAAAGAAGATTCTTTTGAACTTGATATCCAAGCACATGATCATTGGTCTAACAATCCACGCCAGGATGCTTAGTTTACCGCTTCCAGTCTTCATGCTATTATTGAATCTATGGTAAAGAAACCAGAGTGAGTAACCATTATTTCAGATAATGGGGACCATTATCATAATGCAGATTTGATGATAATTTTGAGACATTGGCCAGATTGGTATGGCATTTGGCTAAAAAAATGGATATTTCTTGAACCAGAGAAGGCGAAAACAACTATTGATAGCCACTATACTCAGGTCTGCTATGCAAATCTATCTATTTGAACTAAAAAATTGGCTTACTTTATATTTGAAATAGATCGCGCATTCCATCAATTGACATGTAAAATTAGGATTTAATATATCATCAAGAAAAGATATTGAAGATGCAATATCAGGAATTTGTAGAACATCAGTATCTCATCTGAAACCAAATAGAAAAAAAGATCATAATTAGAAAATTGTATCAAACGAATTATTATACAGCTAAATTTATTAGCAAATTCCTCTCCTACAGAATCTGGAATAGGAAGAAATAAATTACCTGGCATTTCAAATTGATTTGAATGGTCATGGCCGATTAGTAGAGAGTATGCTGGTTGTATTCGAGCAAGGGATATTGCAAATCTTGGTATTTGGACGAACTTCAATCCAAAAGATCTAAAAAAATTATAATTGAAGATAATTGATAAATCCAATTCTAACATATCTGCACCTTCAATATCTGAGAATCCTTGGATAATTCCGTTATCAAATGATATAGGTTTTATGATGCTAATTGGTCTAGTTAGGATTATTTATGATAATCTTCAGATGAAACAACTGATTCAACATGCCATATAGAAATCCAGGTAAGAAAACTAAAAAAAAAAACGTGAGAGATCAACTGAAAACTCGTGGTATCCTGAAGGATGTAAATACGAATAAAAAAGATTTGGTGAAAGAGTTAGAAATAGCATTAGCCAAAGACACTTTAGCGAAAATATCAGGTATGTAAATATGATCTTTGACCTTCAGGTTGTTATCTGCATTTTGTAATATTCTACTTTTCATTAGTTTTAGATAATACTTATTATTCATCAACTATATTCTTAAGCCACGATTCCTGCTCAGGTAAAGACAATAATTCAGCTAAAGACAGAAATAAAGTAATATTATTAGATACAAGATATACAAATTGACAACGGCTAAAAAGTTACCTGATAATGATGAACTTACATTTGTCTTTGATATTTTTAGCTCGTAGTTTTTGTTTTGGCCATTAGCTTGCGGATGGGCATTGAAATCTGCACAAAAATATGGAAGAAAAGAGGTGGTAAATGTATTTCTAAGAAAGTGTAAAGCCTTCTACAAGGATATTTTTTAGAAGGTAATATTAATAAAGTGAGAGGCATACTGCAGAAAGTATGCTTGCCCAACTAAAACAAAATGTGAAAGATAGCGCAATTGAAGAAGAAGAAGTACCAAAGTTGAAGACCATACATAATTAGATATCTTGTTATACAAGTCAATACCATCAAGAAGTAGCAATAGTAGCTCAAACATCTAAAATATAAATAAGTTGTTTGTTTCTTCAAAATTTGTAATAAATGAGTCGTGTTCACAGAAAAAATTTTGAAAACGTAGAATTTTAGACGTCAGAATCCAACTGGCATACAAGTAAAAAATTTTTTGTTGTTTTGAAAGTTATTAAAAAAACTACTAGACATACAATTTAGGTATTGATGTACAAAGTGATAAAGTTTTTGTATCAAAAAAGATCAAATAAAATGACGTTACATTTATCTTGAAAAAATCGATTTTTTAATTTTATTAAAAAGATCAGCAAATTTTACCCGTTTTTATCTAATAATTTGTCCAGTTGTTACATGAAATACGAATTAATTAATTAATTTATTTATATTTATTGATTTAAATAAAAAATTTCACTTTAGAATTAAAATGATTTCCATTTTCTAATATTAATTATCTAAAATAGTAGCTAATTAAGAAAAACTCTATTATATTTTTAAAATATAAATTATATATTTAAAATACATAAATTTTAAATTATTATAATTATTTACAAATATACTTTTAAATTATTATTTAAATGTGATTATATTAAAAGTATTATTTGTTATACAGTTATATTTCTATATAGTCTCTCTTATATAAGTATAACCTTTATATATTTTACAATTTTTTTGCATTAAAACCTTTAATTAAAAAATTACCTCTATATAGTTACAATAGAATTATAATCACTATTACACTAATATTTATATATAACTTCCTTTTTAATTAAGTTAATAGAACCTCTATATAATCATGTCACATGATATTATTTATTCAGATAATCTTAAAAAATCTGTTAAATTTTTTATTTTTTAAAGTATTACATTATCAGCCTTTTATTTTAGAAAGTTTCTTAAAGTAAATTTCATATTAGAGAAGTTTATTTTTTTTAATTTTTTTTATTATTAAATTATTTAAATGAATTTTTTAATAAGTTTTATAATTATTATTTAAAAGTTATTATATAAAAAAAAACAATACTCAATAATATAATTTTATATAGGTAATCTAATGTTATTTAAAAAAAATTAATAAATATGTTATTAAATTATTTCAATAAATATTTTTTTATTTTTTTATCAAATTTCAATCTATAATAATTATATTATTTATATAATAAAATTATCAAAGAATTATTAAGTTCATTAATAATTAATATTATATATTAAATATTATTTTATAAATACATAAATATAGAAATAAAAATATAAATTGCATAAAATAAGAAATAAGTTGAATGAGTTGAAATATGTAATTCAAATTGTAGTATACTATTTATATTTTGTAATAAACTTATTTTAATACTTTCTGTCTTTTTATTTATTACTTTATCAAATAAATAGATTTTATCATTTTATGTTATTAAACTCTTATATTAAAAGAAAAATAGAAGAAATATAATAAAATAAAAACTAAATTATAAAAATATATAATATCATCTTATTTTTATCTACTTTTTCATTGAAATACTATTTGAAAAATAAATTAGAATAATAATAAAAAAAATGAAATATATTATAAAATTTTCAAATTTTATAAAAAAATGAATAATAAGCTAATTAGATTTAAGATAAATATGATTTGCTAATCTTATTTTAACAAATAAAAAACTTTTTTTTTTAGAATCTGGGAGGGACAAGAGGCTTTTCCACTAGAGGTGTATACCTCTCACAGTACTTTCTTACTATATTATTTTATTTTTTTTTTTATTTTTCGCACCTCTAGCTCATTAAAATTACTTTTTTACTTTCTTGCCTAGCTGAAGTCTCTGCAATCTCAAAACTACTAATTTGTAACCTTGCTTAGCTAAACTCTTTAGAATTGTATAAATACTAATTTGATATTTTATTTAGCATAAGTTTTTTGAAAAAAAATAAGCTTACTATATGCAGAACGAAATGGAGCGGTAAGCAAAGTGTGTAAAAAAAATGTAATCTAATATATTTAGTATCTACTTTTCTTGATCTGATCTTTTGCTCTAAGCATTTTTGGCTAGAATTCCTTTAGCCAGTTTGCTTATTACCCAGATTTAAACCTATATCTGTGTCTAATAAATTATCAGGCAGGAGATAGATGACCGGAAACAGTATTAGAAAAAATCTGTCGCTCTCAAAAAAGACTTCTATTGTCTAGAAGCTGTAATATAGAATCTTGCCTCAGCTTTTTTCATTATTGAGCCACTAGGTCTATATAGCTAATTTTAGACATATTTTTGGATTATCCAGGATACTTGATCACATTTTTTATCCTGAAGTTTGTTTTTATAATAAGTAACTTTACTGTAATACTTTCTAGTATATTTCATACATATTCTATAAGAAAAGGCTGTTGATGTGTCACATTTATCATAAGGAATACAAGTTTGTCTTTTCCAATAAATATGGCATCCTTCTTTCTGGTAACATTTTTTTTACATACACAACCATTAATATAGATGTATAGACAAGAATAAAATGTCATGCCTTTTATTATTTTACAAATTAAATATTTTCTGAGGTTATTAAAACGAGATGACATCTAATATTATGGATTTAGATAAAAAAATGAAATTTTTATCTCAAGTGAAACCAGAAGGGTCAGCAAAAAAGTGAAGAAAGTATTACTAGAAGTATTGAAAATAGCAATATGTCAGAATTTTAAAAAGAGTAGTAAATTTGTTAGAAATCATCTTAACTAAGTAAAAAAAATGCGATTAGCAGAAAATCCTGATGGATATACCAAATATATTGCAAGAAAATTGATTCCAGATGAAATATCATATAATACAAGAATAGAGAAAGTTCAAACATAGTATTGAGAAGAACTGCGTACTAAACTAGAGAAATTATATAGCCTTTATTTATGAAATATCTTAGAAAGAAAAATGTGAGATATCTAAAGAGAATGCGAAAAGAATTATTCAAGGACTTCTTAACATATTACTTACAGATGATTAAATATACAAAGCTGATAACTTTCTTAACTTATTAACATCCACCAGGATGGCAATTCAGTATGAGAAATTACTAATAATTCTTCATATATAAATGATCGTTTAGGACTATTGCCTTCATTATCTATAAGCCAATAAAGAATTGGCTGATTTTTTTGTACTAGTAATTTTTTAATATGATAAACTTGTGAAGACCAATTTTTATCAGTTGTACATCATTTACTATCTCCTTCTAGCTCGCTAGGTTCAAGCAAATATCTTATTAAAACATTATAAGTTAATTGTGATTCATTATAGCCTATAGGTCTTTCTCGAGTTTTAGAAGACTGGAAAATAACCTACTTCTTTTTTATTTCTATAGTTAGAGATAGATCTATAAGACGGGTTATAGAATTATTAATATCTTTTACAATTATAGGCAAATTCTTTACCTAAGCCTGAAATTTTTTAGATAAATGCAATATTAATAAATCATATGCATCCTGTATACAGAGGGTGATCACGGATACCCGAACGATTAATTAAACTATTTGAATATACTTATTATATTAACTTTTTTTTT